GGGAGATCGGTTACCCTGTCCGGGCCTTCCCCGCGGCTCGCTCAATGTGTGACCGCAGAGAAACCAGGCTCGGCGTGCAATGCTGCAAGGAGAATCGCGACCACTCCTGCGTGCCCGATACTAATCACATTGACCTGTCCGGGCCATCCGCGCGGCTCGCTCGATGTGTGACCGTAGAGAAACTAGGCTCGGCGTGCAATGCTGCTAGGAGAATCACGGTCACTCCTGCGTGCCTGATGCTTGTAACATTGACAAGTGCTGTAACTAGACAGCGTTCGTCAACAGACTGCATGACCCCGGCTGCTTGTTGACCACCCGTCGTGGAAAGTGGCTGTGGATTATGAAGGTTGATTGACTCATAGATCGGGCAACCGTCTCCTGACTGTCCCAAGTAGTCCGCCATCGTCAGTGCCCATCACGCTGGCCAACGGTGCAAAACGCCTATCAAATGCCCATGCCTGCATGCAGACAGGCCATCGACTGGCACGCAGCTGGTCGCTGCCAATCAAGGGAACAAAGCATCCACCTGTCATTGCGCTGCAAGGGACTCCATAACGCTGAAGGCAACATTGACGTTTGCAAATGGCAGGTCATGGAGTGGCACCGAGGCGATGGTTGGCGAAGACGTCTTCGCCAGCTGTCGACAGCACATTTGGGATTCACGCGATACACAGCATCTTGGGTCTCCACAAGGATTCGCCCGTTGATGGCGAATCGTCGGAGACTGGTGACGACAAGGGCGGCGACAGCAGCATGCTCTTGGAACACAATGAGAAAAACTCTTCCGATGACAATGAGTCGCCATATTCTAAAGACGACAAGGGCGGCAAGCGGCGCATGGTGCTGGGATACTACCCCTTCGTGGGTCAGAGGGATTCGTCCAGTGACGGGAGAATCGTCCGACTCTGGTGACGACACGGACGGCAACAGGCGCATGCTTCTGGGAATGGCAGGATTGGGAATTTCAGTTTAATGCGGCATTGATTGAGCCTCTGCGATGGTGGTATGGTTGTTTTAGTGACAGTTTTCGGCATGTGCAGGAGAAATTTTGCTGAGCGAGAAACGTGTCTCCGGAAAAGAAGCAATGAGAGTTCTAGGCTCTGTGGTTATTTTTCTTTACAGGAGAGAGCACATTGCTTGGTTCGTTACACCTGTGTCAATAAGGTTGCAGGTTTAGGGATGCTCTGAACTGCCACGGTGGGAAATGTTTCACCACCCGCCATTCACAATGTTGTATAGTACTCGAAGCTGCATTCGCTCTTGAATCGAGGGGCAATCAAGTGAGTTTCACTGCGCGGGCGTTTAGGAGACCGTATTCTGTTCATGGATAAGTAGCTCATCCATCGCCGTCACACAACTCTTGAGGTCGCCGGCTCCAGAGGATGTGACAGAAATTATCACCGTTGGCAGCTTAGGACATCTGAATTTGAGAGAGTGCGTTTTCATCTGTTGGTTTGTATTACCATTGGGATGGCGCTCATTGGACATGTAGTTGGGGTTTTTCATTGCCAGGTGCCGATTATGGTGATAGCTATATTATACTATTTTGGAGTGTTTTCTAGCTCCCAATGAGATGGTGGCATAGACTTGTTGGGCATGGAACCGTGTGGGTTCATCGCTGGTTTGGCGCCCAGTTTTTGTGGCCACAATTCATTGAAATTGGCATTTGCATTTAATGACAAGTGCTAATTAGGATGATATTGCCTGAGCGCTGAGTGCCGAGTGCTGAGCCCTGAGCGTTATTTTAAGCGAGTGTTCAGTGTTCTTTCATTCTGCGGATGATAGGGTCTGATTCTTTGAAAGTGCTGGCGGTCGTGAGCTGGACAATCAATGGAAATACGGCGACCCACCTGCACATTTTATACAGCGGAATCTGGCTTCTGGTCTCCCCGTCTGGTAGGCTGACCACGAATTCTGGCACCGCACTCGAGGGCGACGCAAGTTGCTCATCCCACGACATTGAGCACCCACACACAGTGTGTCACACACCACCTTGAGAACTAATTGCAGCGGCGCGTCTACAATCACTGAGAATACGTAAGGGCACACTGTAGAACACACTCCAAATGGCGTCTTTCCATTTATGAATCGTGCAAATTATGTATAACTTACGGTCCTGGCACTCTTTTGCGCTCGGAGGCAGGAACGAATCTTGCATTGTAACCATCTCATCGGCAAGCTTCTATTTGTCGGGATGCTACATCGGCCTAGAGGTGCGCTTGCCAAGTTGGGTGGGCAGATCTGAGGTAAACCTTTAATACAACCCAACTTAGCCTTCAGCTATTCTCCATAGCACAAATCGTGCATCGGCAGTGAAAACCGTGTTTCCCAATGGTCAGATCATGTAGCTTCAACGATGTCTTTGTTGCCACTTTTCACAAGTGTCCTTTGCGCAATGTCGGGTGGGTAGCCAGGCGACAAGAGCTGTCCCAGGAGGTATCCTGATCAGGATACAGGATGCAGGATACGGTCAAACAGACTGTCCCGTGCCCCTCATTAGGGGCACGGGACAGTCTGTTTGACCCCCACTCGAGAATACCGATGTTGCATTTAAAAAGTCTGCTAACATCATCCCAATAGGTTGGCTAACTTCAGGTGCTTGTTATCGCGGACATACCGTGTGCCTATAAGGAGCACCAGTGTCCAGGGGTGTTTCCGGATGCGTCGCGGACCATCCAATGAGTGGCCCGAGCGGAGACTGACGGCGACACTTTTAATGCCATCCGTGATAGTGTCGCGGACGCTTCACATTGCGGGTCGTGGGAGCGTCGCGGGCAGTGACGGGGACAGTGATGGAGACGTTCTGTTTGGCGTCGCGGTCAGTGTCGCGGATTGTGACGGGGACAGTGACGGGGGCATTGTGCTTGCCGTCGTGGTCAGTATCACGGATAATTTCTTGGACAACGTTGGGTGTCGCGGATAGTGGCGGGGACACTGCCCTCGGGCGTCACAGTGAATGTCGCTGACAGTGTCGGGTGCCACGGATAGTGTTACTCACACTGCGACCATGTCACGGTGACAGTGTCCACAACGGTGACTCTTGTGGCCGCGTCAGTATCCGCAGCAGTGACAGCGACTGTCTCTGTGTCCGCGGCGTTTGCTCGAGGAGTGTCCCCGACAGTGACCACGATAGTGTCCGACATGGAGCTAGTGTCGAGGACACTCAGGTTGCCGTCGCGGACACTCATTGCAGTGCATAGAGTTGGATCTGTTCATTTGTTCTTTTCCCAGCTGTCATTGTGGGCTGTCCCTTGTATGCAATTGTCCGGATTTAGCAAACACAATAGTTCGATCGCTTCCTAGGACCATACTTTCTTCCTATGCAAATTATGGACTCTGGCTGGATTACTACACTGTGCCGCCCCACATTGCCACAAGGAAGCATAGGCCCCGTTTTTAGCCTGATGCGGTACAACTGACAGTGAAATATCTTGGAATGAGCTTTCAGCATGGCCCGTTGGAGATCGCTGTAATCAACGATGGTTGCCCAGACCAACAGCCTGCCCACGACTCACGTGCCTGTTTGACGCAACGTCGGTCCTCCAAAGGCAAGTACCAACCTATTTGAGGAGGGTCCGTCCGCGAATTAGCAGGTGGACACTACTAATTCTCGGACAAGGACGAATGGTGCAGATCTGTGACTCTGAATACGTATTTCATGGACCACAAGCATGGTTGCAGAAGAACTGCGTACTTTGGAAACTAGCACAAGCTTAGAAGAGGCCCAAAGGCCGTTGTTCAGCGGCAAGCAACCTTCCCCGAGCGTCCAGTCTGCGTGGAGGGGCCCCAATGTCTCAACTGACAGCGGCCCCTCGCCTGCCCTGGCTTCCAGGATCCCATTTTTCAACCCTCAAATCGCTGCTGAGCTGGCTGTTTGCCTTCGTCAAACTTGTTCTTATTGCCTTATGCTGTCAGGTAATGTTAGCATAGGTAATGTAAACATTGGCAAGTTGCTCAGGCATCCTCGCATCCACACAAAGACTGACGTTGATGAGGGCGGTGGCGCTTAGATTATTACACGCTGAAAGAAAGGGCCAAACCTTCGGGCCAAACCCCTCCTGGGGAAGTGTGAGAGAGGCTGTTCCATACTGCGAAACGATGATGACGAGTTCCCCCCCGTGCAAGAAGATTAGCACACAAACCTGTGTGCAGGCATTTGCAAAACATCCGCATTGACCCGCGGGCGTCAATGCGACGCGGACCAAGCGTACCAAATCAGCACACCGTGGTCCCAACCGGCTCAAAAGGCCAGGCCGAGGCGGGCCCGCACCGAAACATCGCCACAGACGCGCTCCCCCTCCCTTAGGACCTTGCTGCCGGGCCCCTGAAAGGTCCGCCGGGGCCTTGGCTTTCTGGGAGCCTGGGCCGCCCTGGTGCCGTCCTGCCCGCACCGCCGGCCGCCCCGGCCCCCCACCGCCGTCGCTGAACGCTCGTTCGCCCTGTGTACGGGTTGTTCTCCCCGGGCGCGCCCCCCTGGCCAGTCGCCTAACTCGGTTTGTCACTATTGGTGGCAAAAAGTGGGAGAACAACGCTAGGAGGTCGGGCAGGCGCATCTGGCAGGCGTGATTTGAGCCCCCTCGCGCCGGTGGCAGTGGCACCATGCCGTCGCTGGGCCTGAAGAGCTTCAAGAAGGCCGCGGGGCGCGCGGCGAGCGCCGCCAAGGACCTGGCGGTGCAGGCCAAGGAGGAGATTGGCGGGCCGAAGAGCCTGAGGGACTACTCGATCGGGCGGCAGGTGGCCACGGCGGGGCCGGAGGGCCTGTGGAAGATCTTCGCCGCCGATGTGAAGAGGAAGGGTGCGCCCAAGGACAAGGGGGGGGAGTAGGGAGCAGGGAGGGCATGTGGCGCGCCTGTTTGCGGTAGGGGGGCTGGGCGAGTTGGCAGGTTGCTGGAGGCCGGGACGTCGGGAGATTCGCGGTCTTGGTGGAGTTTGATTGATAGTCGCTGTGTTTATCGCGCGAATGCGCGGAGATTTTGAGGGTGCCTCAGGCCCTGGACCACATGGCACTGGCGTGTGGTCTGCGGACGCGGCCTTGGCCACAGCCTCCCGCCCTCGCGGAGCTGGTGCACCCGGCCCCGAGCGATGAATTGCAGCAGCGGCGCCCTCGCGTGCGGATCGCGCCTCACGGGACCAATTCGCGTCGGTTTCCGGGGACGCGCGAACAGCGGCGATCAGCATGTCGCAGGACGCGCGGGGCGGACGGGGCCCTCATCGCCGGCGCCCATTGCGGGGTGCCGCCTGCGGGCCTATCCAGAGCGCCGAGCATCAATGGCGCGCAGTTCCATAAGCCTAATGGTGCCTCCCTGCGTTCTGCGTTGCCGGTGTTCCGTCTCATCATCCTGCGCAACGCGGAGGAGAGTGTGTGGAGAGGACCAGCGCACTTGCCTTGCACTTGCCCCTCCACCATCGTGCCCTCGCTGCGCCACTTCCCCTTGGACGCCGTTTTGTGCTCCCGTTGGCGTGCCGGGGCCGCTTTCAAGTCCAGCGGTCTGTTTGGCAATGCAAGGACGAATCACTACTTCGGCGCCCCGCCCGGAAAAGAGTGAGCATTGGCCTTCCGCCGTTTGCAGCCAATGCTCCCCAGCCATGGATCAAGGCCGTGGTCAAGCCGGGAAGAGTGAGTGGAGGGTGATGAATTGTGTGACCGTGCACGAACAGGGCCGGAGGTGCCTGCGATAGCCAGCGTGTGGGTGCTCGACAAGAAGAACCTGCCGGACGCCAACAAGTAAGTGGGCCGGCGCGCGGGCTGACGGCACCGACCGTCGAAGGAGCGCTCGGTCTGGCGCTGACTCACACGGACAAAGGGGGGGAAATGCAATTGGATGCAGCGCCACGGCGCGACACGTGTGCTGCCCCGCTGAGAAGTTCGCAAAACAGGAAAGGAGAAAGGGACAGGAGCGGCCCCAGGACAAAATTCTTTGGCTGTTTGGGGAGCAGCGAGGCTGCGATTATGGTCAAAGAATTGGTATGCAGCAGCTTGCCCATGGGCCTCTTTCCTATTCAAAGGCCATGCGTGTCAGACGAAAACGCGTTGGCTGGTAAAGTATTCAAGGGGCCTTTTGCCTGAGTCCCCCTAACAGCCTGTTGGACAGGGATGCATGGACTTTGGACGAGTGCTTTACTGCATGACATGGAGATGCAACACTTAGTGGTGTTGATATTCTGTGCAGTCTGAGCAGCAAGCCTACCACAGAACACACGGCAACATACTAATGGTTTGAGAGATCGAACACTTCCTGATGTTGTCTTTGTGCGGCTTATCCCCCTGGCAGTGTCAAAATTTGTCTGTTGGCAGGGATTTCATTTTCACCTTTGCATCGTTTTCAATTTATGGAACGGAGTCTTACAACAATGCTGAACAGGTGTCCAAGATTAAAGCAGCGAGTCACACGCAAAAATCGAACCAAAAATAGCAAGACATGTACCTTGGTTGAAACAAGAGCCAGCAGTGCCTTCCATTACAACATAAAACGTGCCCAGCTGCATGGCGTGCATGGGAAGTAGTCCAGACCAGCGTCTTTGGGCATGTGTGCAGGTTGTCAACATTCACACCTGCTTGTTTGGCCTTTGTGACTGCCTATTAGCAGCTGCTACTTGTTGGAGGCTCTTTGGCCTGCGAGGAGTTTTCGTTCGAGGCACCTTGCGCTGTCAAAACATCCAGCAAACCATTTGTTTGCTGAATCTCGTTGCCTTATTGAATTCTTCTTTGGTTCAGCACATTGTACTTCCAGTGCACATGGTATTGTAACTTGATTGCTTTCTGAGAAGAGTTGGTTATATGATTACAGATGCGAAGGCCTCAGTTGTTTGAAAGGTCACTCGATCACCATGCATAAGACGTAGTGTAGTATGAAGGCATCAGATGCCTGTCGATGGTGTGGGCTGACTCATGCTGACTTTGTTCCTCACTTCTCCTGGTGCAGAGGCTCCAAGCTATGGGATATTTTCATCGAACGCCAACGCCGGAACTCTGTTGCCATGCTAAAGGCAAGTGTTTAAAGTGGCTGGCTTTGCTGTTCTCCTGAGAATGCATTTTATTGTCTTATCATGACTTTTGTTATAGACAAACTGAAAATCCAAGGATATTGCAGTGACACAACAAGACGTTGTGAGCATGTGCCAGAAGTAGCAACGCGGCAGCAGGGTACAGAATTTGTGACAGTGTCATGTTTGCCACAGCAACTTGTAGCCAGGGCTGCATCCCCCCTTCACCTCAAACAACTAGGAAAATTAAGGCAGGAACGGGTCAATCCACAATGTGAATTGCACATTGTGCCAGTTGCCATGCACAGGCAAGTGATCGAAACTTTTGATTGCTGATGTGCAGCTGAAGCATCCTGGTATCGTGAAGATCCTGGAGCCACTGGAGGAGACCAGGAACCAGGTGTGACCTGTGGATGGTTGATACCAGGCCCAACAAGGGACAAGGGGCCAGCAGACGTACCTTTTCGCTGACAGATCCACCCTCGTTGAATCCATAGCTGCTGCACTGCGATGTTTTCACCAATGGAAGTCTGCTTTGATTATGGTGGACACCACACAACAGTTCCAAGCTCTGCATCTGCATGGATGTGAATGATATGGTGCCCATGTTCACTGATGTTTACTGAGCTTGGTAGCTGGCCAACAATGAAAAGACAATGGTTGCCTTGTGGGTGGGCTGGGGCTGTTGGCGGTCGCCGAACATGAACCAAGACGCAAAAACGGTTGACTGGTGTTTTCTGGGCAGTTGGTGATGGTGACAGAGGCGATCTACGGGTCTGTTGACAGCGTGGTGCACAGCTCCGACGATGTGCCAGGTCCCCTTAAGGGGACAAAGGAAGCGGCAATGTCAGAGCTGGAAGTAAAGCATGGCGTCTTGCAGGTGCGCACCAATATCTGCTGTGTTGGAGTTTTTCCCACATCGCGAAATATTTCCTTTGGGCCTGCACAGCTGTGGCATGTGTCAAAGAGTGGAGCAATGGAGTGCCTTTGTGCTTTTCAAGGCAGCAGCTGGTGGTGCATTTGCCTGCATGGCTCACAATGATTCCCACATGTGTGCCAATGGACAATTGTGCTTCTGTATTGCTGGTGAGAATGGCACCTGCCTTTTTGTCCAATCCCAGCCAGCTGCATCCATATCTGGCCGCTCAACATCGGCACATGGTTTTCAACTAAACAAACTGGCAACCATATGGTCTTGTACTCTTGTGGGTCCATAGTTGCACCATGGGTGGTTGCAGCTGTGGCAGAATGTCTGTCATCCAAATTGGCACCGAGCACAAGACAGCAATATGCTGCCATCGACCACCCTGCTGTCCAGAATGTCAACTGTAATCAGGTGCACATGTCCTGCCAGCCTAGTACCAGTTGCGAGTTCCTGGACTGCATCGTTTCCTGTTGTGCGGTCAGGTTGCCGACGTCCTTCACTTTCTACACAACGAAGCTGGTGTGGCTCACTGTGGCATCAGGTGAGCTCATGCACCCTTTTGTTACAGACTCATATGCGATTTGCTGGGATGAGCCCTGGGATTGACCACACTCTCACAGAACCACCACTGCCACATAACTACAGGGCCATGCAACACTCTTCTGCACGAATTGGCAACTGGAGTGGTAACTCGGTGATGGACAGTGCGACATATTGTCCAGCCTGGTATTCACTGTTGCAATTTCTTATTTGGATTGCAAGGGTTGATGCCAGTGCGATTTTGTCACGTTGAAATCACATTGATGCACAGCGGGAGGGGTGAGTCCTGGCGGGAGGGTGGGGTGAGTCCTGGCCTACAATTCTGAGAATGTACACCACTGCCCTAGAACTGACAGAATCCAAAACAAGCCCAAATTTGCCCATTTTTTGTTGCAAAACTCCTTGAAGCACTCGAGTTGGACATGCAAAGGACACAGATGCACAGGTCCACATGTGCAAAGGACATTCTTGTATTTGGTATCTCCTCAGTCAACATGATGATTGCAGCATTCAATCAAATTGTGTTATTGACTGATGTGGTCCAGTAACCTGGGCTAGCCCCTCAGATTATGGAGTTGGCACGACGACTGAGAAAAGGAAGGGGTTGAGTGGCACAGTGTCAATATGGCATTGAGCGCAACAAAGGAGTTATGGTCCCACCCCAATATTTAGAATGCACTCTGCTCTTCCTGCATCGTCAGTAGTATAATAAAGTACAAGAAGTGCACACAAGTGCACAGAATTTTCCCTCTTTTCTCCTCAGTCCTTTCCAGCGACCTGAATCCATACATGGCAGCATCGCAACAGAATTTGCAGTTTTTGGCCAGGCACCCCTTCGACTGGATGGGAGGCAGAGTGTGCTCCCCAGGTGACATGGAGATGCCGTTTGGGGCAACCCATGCCCTGGGGGTGATCCAAAGTCATGCACGCCTCTGAGAGGTAACACCCCCTGCAGAACCAGGGGAAGCACCATAAACCCACTGTCCTCGGCCCCCCCAAATACACTTCAAATACAGTGAATAGACAGCAGGATATGGATGGACCCTCACAGTCTCATTCACATCAAAGCAAGAACATGAATGAATGGCTGTTGATGGTGTGCTGTGCTCCTTTGTGAGCGCAGCACCTGCAGGGTAAAACAGAAGTATCATTGCTCATAAGGACTGGAGCAGTATACATCAATATCAATCAGGCTGGTCAGAGTCTTTGCCATCTGTTCATAATTTTGTTCGGCATGGGTGAGCACCAGCAGGGACCATATGCATCTCGCAGCCTGAAGGCCAGCATGCCCTCCCAGTCTGGAGGTGTGCTAGCTGCAGCAAAATGGTATATGAAACACAAAATACCCAAGAAATATATGTGACACACGTGTATGGCAGGGCTGTCTGCCTTGGCGTTAACCTGCTTTGATAACAATTATTGACGTGTGAGACGGCGCTGCATTTGTTGGTGTTTGTGACATTAACTGTTCTAAAGAACAAATGTTCATTCCCAGTGTATCGATGCTTCCCTTTCCTCATTGATCAGCAGTCTAAGTGCTGCTGATGGTCGTCCTTGCCCAATAGCTCTAGTCTGCCATTTATTTCATCGCTTGCTTGTGATTGATATGGATCCAATTGGGATCGTGAGGCCAGCTACGAACCTGTGTCTTTCCAAGCATCAGCAGCCCATAACTTCAGTCCAGAATGAGATCTGAAACACTGGCAATACACTGCTGTTTGTGATTCCATGGAAGTACAGCACGGCAAGGATGAAGAGCAGCCTCGCCTGCCTGTTCCAAACAGGACATGTTAAGTTTTCATGTTTGCGACCATTTTTGGTCATGTTTGCAGTGGCACCGTGCCCATCACACACATCAGTTTTTCTTGACACTGTGCATCTCACTTGGAATAGGGAAGTTTGCCGGCAGCAGACCAACACTCCTTTGGTTGTAGGCACCTGAGCTCTAAAGAGCAAGCAAAGTTCTTCTAAGCAAGTCCTTCATGCACAGCATTACATTGACATGAAAGAGTGACGATTCGCTGCGGCCTTTATTCTGCCTGACCCTGTGACATCTCGGTGCCTTGCAGCCCGAAGAGCGTGTTGATTACTGCTGAGGGTGCTTGGAAGGTGGCATGTTTCGACTTCAGTGTACAGATCAATGTCATCACAGAGAAATTGAAGAAGTTCAATTACAGCAAGCAAAAGGATTCCATTCTGGATCCGGCCTCCAGGGTGAGTGGTTACCAGAGTGTACCGTTTGTTGCAGCAGTGCTCATTCAAATGCATGCGTCAGAAATTCAGGTTGCATTGTCCTGAGTAGAACAATCCACAGCAAAACATGCAAGCCCTTTTGAGCAACAAGTCTAATGTTGCACATTTCGTGGTTCCACCAGGTACCTGTCAGTTGCATTTGTAGCTTTCATGCAAGATTGAAGTATGGTGCAATATGAAGCAGGTCATGAGGTACATTCCATGTTTTAACGTAAAAATGTAAGTTTGGGACACACACAACATACATAATACACAGAACATGCCCAACACTCACAACATACACAGCACTCACAACATGCACACAGTGCCAAAGGGATGTGTGCACACTTCCGCACTTGCTCTGGGAGATAATGCAATTTGCGGTCCTCCCGCATGCAGTTCCCAGATGGTTCTGCATTGTATGTACAGCATTGATGTTCCTATTCGTTCAGCAATATTTGTTTTGGGGGCTGAAACCAGTTTGTCAAGTTTCAAATTGCTGGGGCTGCTTGACTACTGAAGTCGATTTGTGCCCTGGCCAGCCGAACCTCGATTATGTGGCCCCAGAACTTGCCGGTGGGCACAACGAGGACATGGCAACGATTGCCAGCCCGGCGTGTGACATGTTTTCGCTGGGACTTGTGGCCTATGAGGCTCTGACTGGAGTGCGACTAGTGGACAGTCATGGCGACATCGTGTACTATAAATCCAAGGCAGTGTCTCTTGCCAAAGAGCCCTTCTCAGGGGTGCCAGCCAAATTTGAAGGTGCGGGGCTGGCATGCAAGTTGTTTGTGTGCTTTGACCTGTGAATCCTTGTCCAGTGTTGGCTTTTTCAACCATGTACTGGCAGCGTTGGCTTGTTCAACCTTGTGTTGGCAGCAGCCAAGAAATGATGTCAGGATGGGTGTTGAAGATTGTTGTGGCAGCAAGTAACAGTTGTCATTCGATGGCAATCTGTCACCTGGTTTGCCGCCAAAGTTCTTTTGCATATTCCTCCGCACTTTGGAAAGACGGTGAAAAGGGTAAGGAATGGCATGAAAAATTTGCGAACAATTGGGCTGAAGGAACTGCTAGGGACAGTGCTGGGATTCCTTGGGATGGGTTCATCACAGAGTATGTTGTGCTGCTGTGGGGATGAATTCGCCTTGTGAGTTATGAGGATGCACCACTCGTGTTGCACTTCCCAGAGTGAGGTAACAATGAAGGGGACCTGGTTTAGCACATCGATGTCAAAACTCCAGATCCAAAGATGGTGGGAGAAACCACCTGCAGCAAAATGAAGGTCAAATTCTTGAGTACAGTCGCCATGCTGAGTTTCACAGGATGCTTGTGAAGTTTTTAGTTTCAAGCTAGGCACTGGGATATCACAAGTGGGGAAGACACCTTGCTCTAATTGGTGCGTTACCCAGACTTGGAGCACATACCAAACAGACTCAAGCGCCTCCTGAAATATGCAGTCATGGGTTGTTTGTAACCAAGCTATGTCAGAATCCAAGAGTGATGCATTCCGCTGCTCCAGAGTTTTGTTGGGTTCCCCTTAAAAAATCAAGAGAAAGTGTTCTCAAATGGTGACTTGATCGCCTTCTTCCCAGTATTGGACATTGCTAGACATCTAACCTGGAGTGGTAGTGCTTATTCAGAAGACTGTGCGTTTGGTCTTTCAAGATTCGGGTGTACTCAGGGCCTGAACTGTGTTGGCCTTCAGGCACCCTTCGGACGATGCTGTCTTTGGCCAGGGAGGGTCGTCCCCAGGCAGCTGACCTCTCCAAGTGCCCCTACTTCCAGGAGGACCTCGCTGTTCGTGCCCTGGTCTTTTTGGACGGCTTTGTGCAAAGGGATGACCTGCAGAAAGCCAGCTTCCTCAAAGACCTGGATGGCATGTGGGAAAAGTTTGATGCTCGCATCATCAGGTACAAGGTGCGTTGCTTAGACAGCTGTCAGTTGACGTTGCTAGCATTCGTTATAGTACTACTAGTAGTATGATGATTTGTACGTACATATTTATCAGACAACAAGTCGATGGGATGGCTGGGTTCAGTAGCTCCATGACCCACAGTTCAGGCAACAGAGTTCAGATATGGCTGTCTGTGGCTTGGCTTTTGCTGCCTATTTGCGTAAACTATTGTGCTGGCTGCCACTTTGCCTGATGTGGATATTTGCTTGTGCAGTGTGGCCCTATTGGGGCTGTCTAGCGCAGAGGAGGCCATTTCTGAGTGTTGCTTGAGTGGCAATGAGCGCTCTGTGCAGCCTTGCTGATTGACTTTGAGTTGAATGTCATCACAAAAAATGTAGCCACCAGTCAACATTCTGCCACATGCTGCCCTCTGTCCTGGACGACTGACTTTTCAAGTGGGCCTGTTGGGTTTTCAGTTGTGTTTCATCTGGTCATCATCTTTGTCTTGCCACCCCAAAAAGAATTGGCTGGGTGCCGCGTCAAGTTTTTCAAGGGCTGCTTTCCATACCCCTTTTCCTGGCCTTATCTTCCCACCCTTAACTGCACTTTTGTTGTTTGTTATGTACTCTCTGGGATATTGCATTCTGTTGCCTGCCACATGCCACCTGAGCTGCTTGCCTGCTGTCGTCACAGATAACAATTCACTTACTGAGATGTTCACCCACTGCTTTTGCACCTTGTAATTGATTGGTTCCTTATGTGCAGTTGTTGTTTGTTGTCCTTGTTGACAAGAAACACATTTTTTGATCTTTTTCAACAGCACTATAGACCATGCGGGGTGAAAATCTCTCAGTTGTTGACACCTTTCCCAGTTTGTGGCACTGGATAAAGACACAATGCTCCTTAGTGCTAAATCTTTAACCCCACATTGGCCCACAGCGTTGCATCTAAAGTCTCCTGGCTGTTGACAGCTTTCTCATCTTGTTTGGCATGGGATGAAGACACAATGCTCCTTGGTGCTAAAGCTCTATGTGCAATGCGAAGTTTGAGAATACCAACAAGTGGAATTGAGTAAGTGTTAGCTTCAAGGGGGTGGGGGGCGGGGGGTGGGGATTGAGCTGTCTTGGAAAGTAAGAATGCTATGAAAATTTGCAAATGAGGAATAAACTACAGCAGCAACACACTTTGTGGGTTGTTACCTTACTTAGGAAGTGGACAAGAGGTCCACATCTCTTGGGCGTTGAGAGGGTTTGCACCTGGTCTCTGTAAACTCCGAAGTCAGGAAGAACTGCTGGCATGAACAGGTGCTCCCGCACATCCTGAAGGAGCTTCGAAACGAGTCGTTAGCACACCTCCTGTTCCCCTATGCGTTCAAGGCGATGAAGCAACAAAACAAGGCAGAATTTAAGAGCTACACGCTCCCCGTCCTTCAGCCAATCTTGGCAGGGGTTAAGGGAGAACCCCTGGTTCTTGTGCTGAGGCACTGTGACGACCTGTTGAAACTCCTGCCAAAGTGAGTGGCTCAGATGAAATGCATGAAGTTCCTCAATGCTAGAAATATGTTTGCCAATGCTGCAGGTTGAAAGGGGCACCATGCTGTGAGTTTGTAACAATTGGAATCAACAGATTGGCAGCAAAAAGAGCACTGCATTTGCATTGTCATGGTGATGACAAGTGTTCTCTGAAGTTTCAGTTTTTGTACCCAAGTGCAATGTATGTCATAAAAAATCACCGTTGTTCTTCACATGCGTATGAAAGCTATAAAGTGGGTGTCTGCAGATCTCCATCCTGTGGTCCTAAAATTGTGTGAACGTGCCCCTTGATATGGTTCCAAATTCCTGTGCCCCAATACTGCTTGAATGCTGGCACAACACAAAGCTCCTGTCTGGTTGCATATGCCAAGGCAGGGCTGCGACCCACACACGGAGTTTGCACTGAGTATAATGAAAGGAGCGGAGCCAACAACAAGCAATCAGTGCAAAGTAGCTGTGTTCTGCACTCAGGTGGCAGGAGATGCCATGTGCGTTATTTCTTAAATTGCATATGTAAAAGTAGCAAAGCACTGAGCTTGTGTATTCAAGAAGGCGATGCAGGCCATCAGCCTATCCAAAAAGTGCAGGCGATCTTTTAGGCGATCCTGTAGGCGATCTTTGTAAACAACACTTCGAGACTAGTGTCAAAAGGCAGAATTCAGTCTGTAAAGGAGTTGCTCTGTGGTTGTGGTTTTGGCTACGATGATGTGTGCTGCCTGCTGGCCTGCTGCAACCACAGACTTTTGTGTACCATCTTTCACACTGTGGAAAAGAGTCTCACTACAATACTGGCTTGGGTGTTGGGATGCCCATTGCATGACATGGTTCACATTCTCGTGAAAACGAAAAGTGAATAGATTGGTAGTGAAAAATTTGATCTGCATGGTCAGGGACATGGTGGGCACTGTGATGTTGCCCCTTGTTACAAGGGCCTTTACCACGGGCGACCCCAAAGCCCAGGAGGTGGCTCTCAAAGCGGTGCATGACATGTGTGAGTACCTGCAGAACCAGACCTTGCAGGATCAGGTTCTGCCTCGGGTGCACGAAATGGCCCTGGCCACCCAGTCTGCCACAGTCCGAATAAACGCGCTTGTCCTGATGGGAACCCTGGTGGATCGCGTCGACGAGGCTGAGGCAGGGAAGATGCTGAGCACAGCCATGGAGGTGGGTGCATTTTGTTTTGGATTTGATAAACTGGTCATAGGTAGCATATGCTGGATTCGGCTGTCTTCATCCAGCACCAGATTAAATGCTTTGGCATGTCACTGCTCTTTCAGCTTCCTGGTAAATGCCAGGGCTGAGGCATAGCAAACCCATCAGGTAAACATTTCTGCCTATTGCAAACAGGCGGAATGAAGGGAATGGATTGAACAAGGGAGAAACAAACGTTTTGGAGTGGACAATCCCCATCGCTGCCTTCATCGTTCACGGGCCCTGTTGTTTCATGAAGGAAAACACAATGGCAGGAATGCAACATAACAATACTGCACACGCGTGGTGTGCTCTGTTTGAACAACAACAATGACTTCCTCCTTGATTGCTGCCACACAAAATCGCGGGTGCGGTGCTGCTGAACACTGGAGATCTGGCTAATTTGCAGACTGCAACAGGTGGTGTAGAAGTCACCATATGGTGGCAAACCCTGCATCACAGTGGTGACTTCTGGCATTGAAATGTAGAGTGCCTCAAACCACATGCAGCATCTTATGTCAGAGGAACTGCATCCTCTTCCTCATGGCAGCTGCTTGTATTGCTTCTGGATTGACAAGGAAGCACAATTTGAAGAACTAGTGTGTCAGTAGTGCAAGTGCTCGATTGTGGACCTGCAAGTTCACAGCAGTCCTGCCACCAGTGAAAGTTGGCGACTGACTGTAGACTACATGCAACCCCATGACAGCAGTCGTTGCTCATTTCGCTACAATGCATGCACTTCAGAGCCTGAATGTTATCAGATAGCGAAGCTGCTGCCAATTTTTGTGCTTCATGCTCATACGCTTCATTGCTTCTCCTGCGTAAACCCAGGTGACATCGGCGGATCAGAGCCCCGGCACGCTGATGTGTGTGCTGGGTGTCGGCAACGCGATCTCGAAGAGTTTCGGGGAAGCTCTGACAGCCCAAAAGGTCATCCCATTGTTGTCCCCGCTGCTGGTGTGTCACAGCCTCAGCCACAGCCAGTTCTCCACCTACATAACACTCATCAGGGAAATGCTGAGCAGAATAGAGAAGAAAATGGGATCAATGATCTACGAGCATGAGCCAGTGGAGGCTGGCAATAGTAATGGCGATGGAGCCACACCTGCTGCTGCCAAGGTGGGGTGAGATGACACATGTGTTTACACAAAGCGAAATGGAGCCAACGAAAACTATATCGGAGTGCTCCACAACCTGCCCAGTGTCGAGTGCAAATCAACACTTGCAAACAAATGTGGCACTTTGGGCGCAGCTGGCTTGTCTAGTAGTGTCGCTGTGAGCATGACATGAGATTGCCCAGGCCTTAGGGTGCTTGACCCTCTGCTGCTGCCATTGTTTCTGGGTGCCTATTTGCAGGGGGATTGCACTTGTGCTTGCATCAGACTTTTGCATTTGCTTGTTGCATCTACCAAGCAGCCTTGCTGCCAGGGATCCGCACATGTCTACTAGAAGTCTTGGCCTTAGGAATCCAGCAGCAGCAGCAGCTTAATCTGGCAGTTTCTGTTGCGGTTCAGATCGTTTATACACTCCTTGTGGATCCCGAAGCGCTGCCTAATGTTTCTGGCCCAACAAGGGCAGATTCGTTTCTCAGGATCTGGATTGTCTGTGTGTGAGTTGATGTGATCTTGGTTGTCCGTTTCTGTGAGCTGCAACAGCTAATATGATTTGATCGACATCTGCCTGTTGACTTTGCCATTGTGTTCGATGCCTGGAATTTGATTGTCCCTGAATTGTTCTTCCCAAACAGACCTCCTCCAAGCCGTCAGAGCAGCTTGCGTGGACGTCCGCATCTTTCCCTCCGCCCGCCCAAACCAACTCTGCGCCCCAATCGTCCCAAACGACATCCAACCCGTTTGAAAATCTGGATGCCCTGTTCCCGTCCCAACCCACAGCCCCTGCACCTCAGCCCACAGTTTCTGCCGCCCTGCCCCCACAGGTCCCAAACCCTCCCCCCTCCCCCGCCTCCACCCCCTCGTCTGCACGCGGCCTCACGCCCTTCGCGTCTGCAAGAAACCTTGGAGGCCGGCTGCCCCCTACCCAACAGATGGGGCGGCTGTCTGCCTCTGCGTCTGCCAGAACTCTTGTTGTGCCAAAGCTGGACGCCCCAGGGGGTGCAGCAAGGACAACGGCGATGGCAACTCGCAGCACGTCAGGCAGCCTGGGGCGGGCGCCCAGCCAGAGGCTGTCGTCTGTGGCCATGAAACCCACATCCGGGGTGCTGGACCTTGGGCTTGTATCTGGTGGGCAGCCAGTAGGGGGTGGCCCCACAGTGACCCCACAGGGGTCTCGCAGACAGCTGTTTGCCAGGGGCCAGCAGGCCAGCAGTGTAAGCCAGGTAGGAGGAGCCCCTGATTTGTGACATTCGTTGAACATCACTATTCGCTGCCTTTTCCATCTGGTGAAGTCAATGGCAATGACCTGCAGAGATGCGGAATGATGGGTGGCTGGTAATGCAGTTGAGTGCTTTTGTTCCTGTACAGTCTGACTTTGGTTGCATTATCCAACAGGTTGTAAATGCTCTGATATTTCGAACATAGAGCAACGTCAGCAATTCTTTCTGTGAATGCATGCTGTGGAGAGTGCTAAATAGTTTTTCCAGCAGTGCCATAGATGTTGTTTAGTGTTCAGGTGAATCCATTGGTTGCATTGATCCATTGGATAACGTGCAGGCAGCTTGGTATGAAGGCATGAGGAGAAAGAGAAATGCACCTATATTCTTGATAGCAAGCCTGCATGTCTTGGCTTTCTGTCAGGGCAATAGGAGGGACAAGAAGCTTCATGTTGCGCTGAATACTGCGTGTGGATGTTGCATCAGAAGCATTGTAGTGTGCCTCATGGGGTTGCATCGCAACATTCAGGCACCTGACTCCTTTCTTCTGCCTCGATCAGGTGGAAACGCCATCGGGAGGCAGCACCGATGGCCTGTTTGAAGACTCGGCAACGCCCCTGCCTTCCCCTGGTCGCTCCTCTGCATCCACGCCCCTCTCCGGGAGTCCCCTGCCCTTGGTCCAGGAGCATGGAGCCCCCGGCATCAGGCCGCACCCCTCCCCTAGGACAGGGCCAGCTTCACAGTATCCGGCTCAAGCCCCAGCGACAAACAGTGCAGCCATGCCAGGCCTGCAGGGGGCCTCACAGAGGAGGCTCATGTTGTCGCACCAACACGGCCAGATGGGCTGGGGGTCCATGGATGGTGGGCCCTTGGCTTTCAATCAGCAGAGCACAGTGGGCATGGGTGCCCCACCCTCAGGGATTCACCATCAGTCCTCTGCTTCTGCCTTGCCCATGGGGGTGACCAGCAGCGGGGGAGGATATATGGGGTCGCTGGGCCAGACGCCCCTGAGGCAGGTCACGAAGGCGGGGACAGGGCAACAGGGCATCGATCCTTTCATGGACCTGTTGAGATGACAGGAGTGGCCAGGAGAGCTCTTTGTGGCAGGTGTGATGCTGGGTCCAGTGGCTTAGCAACTTGTGCACATTGACCTTGCATTTTTTCAAGGTGGGGAAAGTGATGGCCCAGCGTGGAATGGAATGCATGACTGCTTAGGGGATATTTGTCAGGAAGTCTAGCAGCGCTGCCCTTGTGCCCCCAGGGCGATGATGGGCGCTCTTGCTGCAACTAGTGGCCCTGTCATAGTTGCGTGCCTCAAGATGTGGAAGCTCTGAGAATGGAATGGAAGGGGTGTGTGGAGGTCTTGATCAGCCCAGTGGGAATGTTGACGAGGTGTTCAGAAGTTCCAGAGGCCATCAACTTGTGCATCGTACTTTGCGGTGGGGCGATAGGTTTCACAGTGGGGGTGGCAGACATTGATGACAATGACATCGATTCATTGCTCAGCATGCTACCTTACCAATGGAGTGACAAACACATGATGACGTGCAGTTTTTAGCACACCTGCATTTTTCAGGTGTTTCATGGCTGTGCCAGCGACAGCAAGGTAGATCTTCGTTCCTGTTTTGTGTTTGCGTGGCTGCTGCGGCAGCCTGCTTGAAGAATGGCCACAATTCCAAAGAAGTTGCTTTCAATCAGACCTCCACGGGGTTCGCTCTCAACACCACCCGGAAAAGACGCGCTGTGCTGACAATGTGGCAGATGCGACCTGAAGGGTTTCGGGCGCACACTACAGTGTTTCCTAGCAGTGCCCATTATTTCTGCATTGCTGAATCAACGTTCGATTTCAGCAACGACTGCTGCCGATCATCGAAGGCAATTCCCTACACTGCCAATGGCAGCACCGATTGGAGCTCAGAGTTTGCATCCAGGGCAGTTGGGAGTCGCCTATCTTATTCATTTGAAATGTGTCGAATTCAATGCAAGCTTTTGCAACTGAAAAAGGCGCGGTGGTGCTGAGGAAGGCAGTCCGGATCGAGGGGTGGCGATCCCTGAACGGGGGTTGTACGCTCAAGTCCACGGCAACGGTTTGCAGCCGAGGCAAAAGGACAATAGGCGTTCTGTCCTTTATATTCAGCCCGTTCATCAACGTCCTTAATGCAATTCCTAGTGCTTCATCATATTTTCATGCATTCAGTTATTGATAACACTCAATCAGTTCTAACTGTAACAGTGGCTTCTATTTCGTACCAGAACGCTCCTCATCGAGCACAGCTTGATGCTAATCAAATGCATTTATTTGTCCCTCTGGCGCCAGGACTCTGAGGCCGAGCATTTGCCGATATATCTGGTTTTCCTAATCAGGATACGTTACGTTGAGGCGTTACAATTGGCGTCTGCAAATGCCTTCAACCATTTGGAACGAGCGGCACGTCTGATGCAGCAATAAGCAGGTTGTGACGTTCTGTTCACCATTCACACGAGACCAGCAGAGGCACAACAGGTTATTACACTCTAGAAATGCATCGCTATAGCCAAGGAGGGATAGTTGAGATGCAATGTTGCATCTGTTCAGGCTATAGTATTATGCAGTTTCAACAACTGATGAAAACTATTTTGTTTACTGTAGGGGCGATGTGTTCCTGCATAAATGCATGCAGCACAGTATGTACGCATCGCCGGTGATAGCCCCCACGAGAGCTGGGCCGACGCTGGCCAATGACCATGCCGATTCGCTCGTAATATCACATGCGGAATGGCGTCATGCCGATTTGGGCACTCGTGATTCTGGCAGGCGGGCCCGGCAATAGCCAGGCAATTACCATGTGGCACCCATGTGACCATTCATTCCCATGCTGTTGCAAAAGTGTGGGAATCTGTGATACCGGCAGGCGCACCACGTCTTGTAGACGCCCCAGCTTGGGCAGCTAAGGCGCTCGCTGGTTGTGACTAGGTGCAGGTATGGCGCTGCCCCAAGGGTAGCAGCTGGCGTGTGTCCATGGCAGGGAAGAGGCGCACCACGCCCTCTGTCCAAACAAGTGGCCAGTGGCAGAGCTAAAGCTGGGCGCCAATCCAGATGATCCTCCTGTTCGCAGAGCGCCTGACTCACTACTATCAGAGATTTTCAGACGCACCTTTGCTCATGAAACTAGATCCAGCGCGTCACGGTTCTACCGACGCTTAGATGTGTGGCTGTATGGGTACTTACTTCTTGCGCGTACAATACGATACCGTATTGGGCAAGGTGTGCAACGGCAATGCACGTCTACACTGCTGGCACAGTGTGCTAACGCGCTCCAATGTGTCGTGATGTGGGACACTCACGCATGGATGCCGTAACCCATTTCCACCTGACCGGTCTCCTGAACCCACCCGGTCATGTTCCCCACACGACAACACATTACAACAAAGGTGTCCATCACCAACAACTCCACATACCCGAGGTCCCCGTACTTAACAGTTTGCCCTTTCGCTTCGCCCTTACTTTACTTCACGTTTCTCCCGTGACAGCAACCCTGAGTCACCCCTTCCCCGTTCTGTCATCCACTCCTTCCCGTTGTCTCCCTCAACTCAACCGAAGTCCACTCTCTAGGGCGGGAGGGCTGGGTGCGAAACAAGATAGGAGGGGGACCGAGGGGAGAGCCTAAATAGCCGCCCCCGCTCAGCCCCGCCAAAGCCCGCCAAGTCCAAGCCGCCAAAACGGGCGGACCCTTGGACACTCCGTACTTTGACTGACCCAAGGTACTAGAAGGGCCAGAAACCCGTTTGAATACGATTGCGCCTGATTCGA